TACTTCCTATAATGCACCCCATAAACTAGACCAAAAAAAAATGGTTGATCCGAGTAGGAAGATAAAGGGGTAAAAGTATGGCAACAAAAAAATATGAACCAGAGTTAAAAGCAAAGATAGCTTTGGAAGCAATAAAAAATCAAAAAAGCACATCTGAGATATGTAGTGAATATAAAATACCATCAACAAATCTATATGATTGGCGTGATAGAGTATTGGCAAGGTTAAAAGACCTATTTGTTGAAGAAAGTGAAAGTGCGAGAAAACAAAGAATCTTAGCGCAAGAAATAGAAAGTTTACATAAAGTAATAGGAGAATTGACAGTGGAAAATAGTTATTTGAAAAAAAAATTACTGAAATAAGCAAAAAAGATAGAGTAAGGTTTATAGAAAAAGATTCTGATCTGTCAATTAGGAAACAGGCTGATTTACTGGGAATTTGCAGATCTAGCTTATATTATAGGCCTATAATTAATAACGAAAGTGAAGTAGCAAATTTGATTCAAGAAGTATATTTGGCTTCTGATTGCCGTTATGGATATCGTAAAATTACTGCTGAGATCATAGCGAGTGGAGTAGCAGTCAATCACAAAAAAATCTTAAGAATTATGAAAAAAATGAAGATTAGTGGGCTGTATTGTAGAAAAAGATGTAATACAAGTATTAAAGAAAAAAAGCATAAAATATATCCTTATTTACTCAAAGATTTGATTATTTGTAGAGTTAATCAGGTATGGGCTACTGATATAACATATATTATGGTAGAAGGTAAGTTTGTCTATTTTGTAGCAATAATGGACTTGTATAGTCGCTATATTATTGCTCATTCATTATCACCATATCTCGATGCTGGATTTTGCCTTTATACTCTCAAAGAAGCTCTAAAACAAGGTAAACCTGAGATTTTTAATAGTGATCAAGGGGTGCAGTTTACTAGCTACAACTTTATTATGGAATTAGAGCGTGCTAATATTAAAATCAGTATGGACCATAAAGGACGTTGCTTCGACAATATATTTGTTGAGCGCTTATGGAGAACTTTAAAGCAAGAAGCTATATATTATTATAGACCAAATAGTATCAGAGATTTGAATCTTATAATAAATGATTTTGTTGGTTGGTATAACTATAGAAGGCGACATCAGACTCTACATTATAAAGTTCCTGCTGATCTTTATTATTATAAACAGTAAATGAATATATTGATAAATACTTTAAGTGTGTGTTGACGTATTTATCAACATATTCACTTTAAAAATCGGATCACTTTCAAAAAAATGGTCTAGACAAATGGGTGCACTATATCCTGTACTGTGCCTACGAGTTGGAATGCTATGTGTAAACTCTCCATACATTCTGTCGAACTCTTGCTCATTCCAAGTCAAACTCCGTGTATTATTACAATGCT